ACAAAGTATTGCATGAACGGTTGCCAAGAATTGTGGCACATATATACAGTATTCTAGAGAAAAGATGTTTGTAAATGTTTTTGTGAATATTTTCAATAAAAGACCAAGTGAATAAACAGTGAAGAAATTTTCGACAGCCTGTTGTGCTCATATTTACCAAAAAAAAAAAAAAAAGCTTTTGTTTCGCTGTATTTTTCTTTATTACATCTAACAACATTTGTTGAGGTTTATACTTAAAAAATAGATTTGTAAATATTCTTATCTTATGCAGCTTAGCCTCTCTACAAATTCCAAGTAAATGCCTATTGTTTAAGGATTAAATATTTTTATTGGAAAATAATACATGTCTGTATATGTAAGCTTGTTCTTCTAATTTGCATGTCCTGTAATTTCATCGGGAAAATATCCTGGTAATACAATCCCCTAATTCATGGATGAAATGTAGGTTGTATGACTGTGTGTCTAAGCATTATTTATTTATTTTTTTTCCTTCTAATAGCATGTGAAGATTTTTCGTGCACTGGTGCTTGGGGAGCCAGAGAAGGGCCAATCTCAGTATCAGGCCCTCTGCTTCATCTCGCATTTGGATCATGGAGAGCTCATCCCCAGTGAGGCCATGGCTCGACTCAGACAGGTCAAAATTTAAAGAATTTTACAACACCATCTGTGGCACCCTGCTGAAAACACCAGCTTAGGCTAACTTTCATGCTGGTGGTCGTGGCTTAAAGTGATAGTCCACCCAAAAAAAAAAAAAAGTGTCTTTTACTCACCCTCATGTCATTCCAAACCTGTATAGTATACATTTCTTTCTTTATTCCATTTACTTTTGATGAATGGACAAAAATAACTTATTTTTTCCCTAAATGTCTTATGAATCATATCTTGTTGGAAATAAGTTTGTTAAAATGTTTTCAATAACACTTAACAATGTCAGCATAGGGACAAGGCATAGCACAGGAATAAGTGTTAAAAAGTCCAAAGTATAACCACAAAGACTTACACATGTATTATATATTAATAATCAGCAAGGTGAGAATTATTGAACCACTGTTGGTGTATTGTACTAGTATTTTTTGTGTTATGTGTCTTCATTTCTAAGCATTAACTTTATGCCCTGAGACGTTCTGATGTTTCTTATTTGAACCCAACAGAAAAACCCTCATGTGGTGCGGAGTGCGGAGGAGAGACGTGGTGTGGAAGAGTTCACTATGAACGCCGTTCTCAACATGAGTCATTCCTGGCACATCAGTACTCATATTCATAATGTCTGCAGGGATGCACGAGAGCTGGTGTACACACGACAACAAGATGTCAAATACTGGCTGGACAAAGGTTAGACAAGAGGGTCATTAATGCAGTCCCGTCAAGGCTGCAAGTGACTTTGTCGCTGCATTCAGCTAGTGTTTATACTGTCGTTTATGCTCATGCACATTCCAAGTGCTGTCGTTCTTATGTTATCAAGAGACTGCACATCTGAACATAGCAGAAGTAACAAGAACAAGAACCATCAATGTAGCAATCAAACTCAATAAGAATGCTGACAGTTCATTTTCATGCATTATTTTCTTGTATCCATGTATGTGTAACAGACCAATCATAGAGAATAGTGAAATTTTACATGATTTAAAACTTTTAAGTCACCAGCAAAATAACTGAATAGATAGATAGACAGACAGATAGATAGACTACCCTTCAAAAATTTGTGGTCACTAAGATGTTTTTTAAGAAATTAATAATTTTATGTTGCATTAAATTTTAAGGATGCATTAAATTGATCAAAATGTGTTATTTCTATTTGAAATAAATGCTGTTCTTTGGAATTTTCTATTAATCGAAGAGTCCTGGGGAAAAATGTCACAGTTTCCACAAAAATATTAAGCATTGTTTTCAACAATATTGATATTAAACCATTTTCAACATTGGTAATAATAAGAAATATTTCTTGAGCACCAAATCAGCAGATTAGAATGATTTCTGAAGGATCATGTGACACTGAAGACTGGAGTAATGATGCTGAAAATTCAACTTTGCCACTAAAAGAATAAATTACATTTGAAAAGATATTCAAATAGAAAACACTTATTTTAAATTGTAATAATATTTGACAATATTACTGTTTTAGTGTTAGGGTTGAATGTGAGTGCAAAAAATGACTAATAACCTGTAAATGTCATGCCACTCTACTTTTCTGTCAAAATTTTATTTTTATTTTTGGAAAATGACCATGATTGCATGCTGGGCCTTTTCAACCGAGTGCTTTTCTCTTTGACAGGGGTGGAAGGCTCAATATTTGAGGTCTTTCCTCAGAGTCTGAATGTGACTGGCTTGCAGAGCTGCAGCTCCAGTACAGACCCGTGGCAGCCCTGCGCCTGCCGTTACAGGTTAAACCTGGAGTGGTTCCCCTGTCAGCTGAAGTACTGCCGGGGCCAGGGGCCGAACCCTTACAAGTGTGGCATTAAGAGCTGCAGCAAAAGCTACCGCTTTGACTTCTACACACCTCATAAACAGCTGTGCCTTTGGGATGAGGACACTTAGCAGGACCTCACAAAGGAAATTTGCTTTTCCTCAAAATGTTTTTTTTTTTTTTTTTTTGTGGAAAACATTTGTGTAAGGTACTCTACAGCAAAGCAAAACTTTTACTGAAAGGAACCGTTTTGATAATGAGATTATCTAGAAATGACTTGTGCACTTCAGTGTTTTTGTCTCAACAGGGAACTTTCTCTGACTTTAATGGGAGTGAAAGAATGGATATTTTGATATGGATTGTCAAGCCATTTGACTTTTTTTACTTTTGAACATCACTACAATGGTACCTCAGGGCAGGAAATTGTGCTATTATTATAAGTTGTATATTTAGTTCTGCTTAGGGCAGCTGTATTGTAGCTCTTGTTTTCATTCTGTTTAGTTTTTACTTGTTAAAATTTTTGAATGTTAAATTCTTAGCTATCCATAACATTTACAATGTTGATGATATAATTAGTATAAAGGAGAGTATTTTGATAAATATTCAAATCCCATTGTCCAGTATTTACAGTATGATGTCAGAATGTGGGTATCTTTGTAATTTCCTTTGTGTTTTAAAAGGTTTCTAAGCTGTTTGATCGTTTTTTATGTTAAACCTTATTCATGCTCTTTTACTTGCTTTTACCATGTTGCCTTCACATTAAAGGAATATTTCAGAAAAAATGAAAATGTACTCACCCTCAGGCCATCCAAGATGTAGATGTAGCATGAAGCAGAAATGTAGCATTACATCACTTGTTGACCAATGGATCCTCTGCAGTGAATGGGTGCCGTCAGAATGAGAGTCCAAACAGCTGATAAAAACATCACAATAATCTACAAGTAATCCACACCACTCCAGTCCATCAGTTAACATCTTGTGAAGTGAAAAACTGTGTTGAAAAGCAAAGTATTGCCATGCAATAATCTGCAAGATTTTAACTGCTGCAACATAATATCTTTGACTTTTCAGCATCATCATAAACATTTAGATAATTCACACTTCTGCTCTCTGTTTATAAAGCTAGGAATGTAAAGCTGTAACAAAAGGCCTAAGTGGCAGCTAAGACTGTGTCTCTGGACATATTGTGTTTTCAATTTATTGCAAATTTATTCAGTAGATGCTAATTTTCTTATTCTCAACTAAGTTGCTCTCTATAGCCTTGACTAATTCTAATTTACATTTCAATTGCAGCTGTCTTATGAAGAGTCTTTTGCTTTGGTTTGTGATATCTAACATGGGTGTGTGAGCTTCGGTCAGGCGAGGCTTTCTAAAGACACGGCCCACTATTCTATTCTCTTACTTGCTGCTTTCTTGTGTCATTGTCCTAAAATGATTTGCTAGTTTTTCTAATTTATATTTTTTAGACTTTTTGTATTTACAAGATAAAGCATTTGTAATGGGTTAATGTGGTTCTTCATGCAGTATAATTTTTCACAAAACTGTACTAAATCTTGAGAACAAGAGACCTCAATATTTAGTTTTACATTTATTGCATGTATAAATGTTATAGTTATTTTATTATAGTTATCTGCAATCACCTTGGTACTAATTTCAGAACCCATATGCCTTTTTTTCTTCAACAGTCTAGACACAAAACTCTTTTACTAGCAGCAGCTTATCCTGTGTTCAAACCATTGTATTGTGTATTCGTATCTTTAAACTGTGCACTTGCAGGGAAGGTCAGACTGCATCCTGTCCAGTTTGAGTCAGGTGTGTCATCATCGATCAGTATTCATAGGTCTGTGTGGGACACTTGACACCCGTTCACTTTTTGGAGACCCTCTGGGTGTCTTGCTTGACCAAGGTCTTCAGAAGGTCACTGGGTCAAACTTGTTTATATTATTTTTGTGGTCAATATCGCTCTCATACATACACTCTCTTTTTCTTCTATTTATTTTGCGTGTTTAATAGGCCTAAGGATAACTGGTACACAAATATTTAACAGGAAAAACACTTTCACATTCTTTCACATTTTCAAATTCTAGAGTAGCCTACTTCCATTATAATTATTTGAAATACAGCATTTTAAAATGCTTTAGTAGGCCTACCTACTATTTTAACAAGTATCTGGTTAATTTTTTATTTCAACTGTATAGTGAAAACACTGAACTAAACTGAGATATACACTAAAAACACTAAAATATCTGTAAATGTACATTTGAAATGTGTGTAATATAGTATTGCTTATGCAAGAGTGCATACTTGTACTTCATCTGTACACTGGCTATTTATGTCGTGCTTTTTTTTTTTGCCTCTTTTGTTATGATGCGGGCGATCCTACAATCTTACTGTATACCTGTAAAGTCGCCTTACATCAAAATGTTCGAGGCATTTGATTTCAGGTAAGCCTTTTAAAACAAAAAAAACATGATGTACTCAAAGTACACTATTGTTTATTTTGTTTAACCATAATCTACGTACAAATCACATATGCAAATTGTCAACATTACGAGCATTATGCTGTGTCTCATCTCCTGAGAGACTGAATGCTGCCCTCTGGTGTAAAGTCTTCATTTATGTTCACTCTGGATGGTGTGACAGTAAAACTCATCTTTAGAAGGTAAAGTTATAACTTATCAACGTAACGTGGCTAATTCGTGAATGTATGTAATGTAGCCTAGAGGTGGAACTTAACCTGACAGAGTGTATATCTGCACAAACACGCTCTTCCATCCGCGACAATAAACCAAACGCAGCTGTGCACACTAACTGCATTAGCTAACCGATGTTAATCCTGGCACTGTTAACAGTTTTTTACTTTAGGATAAACGTTTAGCTGTAATGTATGGAAGCCTGTTTCCGCCACTGAATAAAAAAATAAAACAAAGGTTATTGCAACTTTTTATCTCACAATTCTTTTTTTCACAGAATTGCTTGATATAAACTCACAATTGCGAGTTATAAAGTCAGAATTGCGAGATAAACTCACAGTTATGACTTTTTTCTCAGAATTGCGTTATATAAACTCACAATTCTGATTTTATAACACGCAATTGCGAGGTAAAGTCCAATTTTGAGGATGGGGGGGGGGGTATAAATTATAATTGCGAGATATAAACTCGCAATTCTGAGAAAAAAGTCATAATTGTGAGTTTATATCTCGCAGTTCCGACTTTATTTCTCAGAATTGCAACTTTATGTCTTGCAATTGCGAGTTTAGGCTATATCACGCAATTATGAGAAAAAAAAAAGAATTGTGAGATAAAAAGTCGCAATTACCTTTTAAAAAAAAAGTTACAATTATTTTTTATTCAGTGGCGGAAACGGGCTTCCATAGTAATTAAATCTCCGAAATGCAGTAAAATGACACATGGAACAACTGTGACATGGATATTATTATAAATTATGGTGGCGTCAACTTAATAGGAATAGCCTACATTTCACATTCACAAATTAATATAACAGAATTAAAAATAATAATTTATTATTATTACATCTCCATAAATGTTTACCGTAATTTAAAATCAAACCTGGAATGACGCAAACTCCCATTTAACTATTCGAAAGAACTGAATTTGCAGAAATCAAGACTTTCGAACAGTGCTGTACTAAACAATATAATAACACTACACCCCTGCACTGCACATCCTGTAGTCATGAGAAACCTGGTGGTCTAATTCATTGGAATAGTGTGGGGATAAACAAACTCTCTTTGGATACAGTAACAGTTTAATAACTGCAACACGTCAATAATGAGCATACTAACTTAATCGAATTAAGTGCATAATCTCACACTGATCTTGGTTGTAAAAACCCCAAGAGACACTTTTAATTGGCAGTTTTGCTTTCAAATCTATTTTCACATTTCCACAGAACTCTGGCTGAGGAACAATCTCTTGGTCTCTGTTGTGCAATGAATGACCTGTAACCCTTTTAATGCCAGAATAATGAGGCAGACCTCTGAGATATATCTTTGGAACAATTACATTTGACATAAGTTTAAAAACATCGCTTTGGGAATTTATATAAAATGTAACTGAAGTCAAATCTGTTCTCTCATATACACTAGTAAAAAGAACAATCATAATTCCAACCTTTATGCATAGTGATGTATTTGAATAAATAGAGTTATGCCATGTTCAATCAAAGACAAAGCACACTTAAAGTTTGCCAGTGTACATAGATAGACACAGGCAGGGTTGCACGCATGCTCTTATTCTCAAGCTTTTCGAAGTTTGCTGTGTGCCTATTGTTGTTTTATGCAAAAAGTCAGAGGCTGGATAGGACACACGAGGGCCTTATGCAAATGACGTGTCTATCAGCTGGTGTGGGATACTGAAGATGTGAATGCTCTTCTATTAACCCACTTTGCTAAATGTGTTTCTCTGAACCTTTTTGAGAAAAGTTTACTCAGTTTGTCATAGAAGACCTGAGAAAAGCACCACAGACGCAGGGATATAATCTACAGAGCCTGGATCCGTGGAGCTTTCCTGCTATAAGGTAAGTGAAAAACTTCTCAAGGTTTTTATCCAAACAGCTTTGTTTCCCAGATACCTGCTTTCTTCTCAAGCAGTGACCGTTTTGTGGAATCATATTGTTTTGCATCACAGCTCTCTATATTGACATATTTAAATGTTTTTGACTAGAAGAGATTAGGGTGGAGAGACAGAGTGATTGTGGTGAATGGTGAATGTGGATTCCCTTGCTCTTATGAATATTACAACAAGCCCTTTACATAAAGGAGACCATTTGAAAGCTGGACAGATTAGAATAAACCTCAAGATCATTTTACTGGCTGGGCCATGACATGAATTGCCCCAGTGTCTGCATAAAGTTGTGATCCTATAGGTAAATCAGCTGTATTTATCATTACAGATATTAAGATGAGCACAGAGGCTGTTGAACAGACAGAATCTCAGCATGAACAAGCTGGTAAGGAGACTTTTCACTCTATGGAATATTGTCAATTGCCTTGAAATGGTAAAATGACCTCTTAACTAATGTATGATAGCATTTGAATGTAAATAACATGAAAACATCACACATCATTTATATGCTAATTATAGTTTTCTGTTTACGCTTTTTAATGCTGTAAAATAGCACCAACTGTGTGTCTTGAAACGGACTGTAATAAGTGAAATTTAAAATATTGAAAAACATCAAAATAATAATAAACAAATGTAAATGTGAAAAATATTCAATGGTACATTACAAATATTATGTGATTATATTCTTAAATATATAAAACAATTTCACAGCTTTTAGATCCAAAGGTGACTTTTTCATCAGGTAGCTGTGCAGAAATGGTCTCAAATTGTCTATTTTCCAGTTATTGAGTCTTTTATTAACAGTGTTTGTGATTCAGTTTTACGTTCCTTTGAAATGAGGATCATAATTTCAAGAACTGCCACTGGGCTTCTTCACAATAACCGTTTGTGGTTATGACCAAAAGTTTAACTCTTTGTGTTGATGGGACACACTGGTCTGTGCAAGGGGCTTTGTGCCAACCAAGTCATTTTTATGTGGATTTCTATTTCTGAATATTCTTTTTACATTTTATTTGCCTCCCTATATATTTGTGCTTTTAAAAACGAGTTCTTCTTGCAGCTTAAGCTCAGTTGAATACAGAGTTCCTTCATCAGGTGTTTAGGTGCGTGATGAGTGCAGGCTGATGGATGAGAAGTCTACCAGGATGTATGTGGCGGTTTGTTTGCAGTGAAGCACTCATAGCCTCAGGCAGTACTGAATCATGGTCTGGTTACAATGGCTTCTGTACGGAACCATCTTCTTCAAATGAGGAACCTGAGAGAAATGCCAATTCAGAGAGAGCAGAGTATTGTTACCGAATGTTAAATATATATATATATATATATTTCATTTATGTTCCATCACCTCTATGGTGTGAAATGTTTGAGTATGGATTAGGGTTATGATTAGACCTATCAGATGTCCCATCAAGTCATGTGATAACTACAAATATTTGGATTGAACGAAAAATGTTGTTCATGTTTACAAATAGTCATGTAACATAAAACCTGCATGAAAACTACCAAAGTATATTTATGTCTAAATCAAGGTTTTTAGTTTTAGTTTTAATGACATTTTATTATTTTGGAGATGCAAAGACACAGGGGAAAAAAATTGGCATAAAACAATTTTCATTTAGAAATTGCATGTAAATTTTACAGTTAATTACAAAGAAAAGGCAAGTAACAGATTGAGTTAAACATGTCCTGTAATCTTTTTTTTTTTTTACAACTTTGAAAAATGATTTTAAAAGTATCATAATTTAAGTGCAAACACACGTGATTGGATAACTCTAACCATTCTGACTTTAAAGTCAGTGATTTTAAAAGGATATGATGTCATTACAATACAGAAAATAGGATACAGCAGGTTTTATAATCATATTATAGTATAATTGAAAATTGTGTGTGTGTCTGAAAGAGAGAGAGAGAGAGAGGTTAAGAGATGCACCTGGAGGTCTGTAAGTATTCAAATGTGAAGGCCTCTAAAGGTTGCCATGGAAACTCATTTGCATGATCTGATGATTTCCATACTGGAAGTTTGGCTCAGGAGAAGGGGAGATTTCCATATTGTGGAGTGAGTGAGTGAGTGCCATTCTAACCACGGCCTCATATAGATAGATTTGAATTTCAAATGAAGAGAGATTACCTGATATTGACAACCTTTGAACCCCCGACTAACCCTCCTCGCTCAGTTTAATGGAACATTTGGGAGTTTGTTTTCATGGTATGGTCCATTATAGGTCTAATGATGAAATACCCTTGAAAGAAATCATGATAAAGTTTAAATGAAAACTAAAATGTTTTGTAAAATTAACTGGATCCGGTGGGAGGCAGCTTGAATGTTAATGCATAACTCTCAGTTTTGATGCTAAGTGTGATTATCTTTTCATTTTACAGACATTGAACAAAATGGCTTCACCAGACAAGTGAGTACAAACGATGTTTTACTTAATATTCATCATCTACCGGTTTGGTATTCAGAGCGGCTCATTGCTCCTCTTATGAAGAGAAACTCGAGAGTTCAAGGGTAAACAGCTCGAAAGATGACAAAAGTTTTCTAGTGTTACAGTACGTGAGACATTTGAGCCATTATGAATAAGCTTCATTAGTTCATCAGATCGGCCTGTCATATGATCTAGTGTTGAGGACAGCAAAAAGTTTCGTGCACAGGAACTAGCTTCAGGCTTGTGAGGGCATTTGCATACTGTGCCTGCGGGAAGGGAAGAAATGTTTGTTAAAGGCCCTCTCCTGCAGAACGAGTCCAGCAGCCTTACTGGTCTCTGAGTACACACAAAGAGCGCATGCGTGCACACACAAACACACACATGCCTGAGGACCAAAACACAACAGCGAACAGCTCCACATCTTGAAATGTTCACCAGGTTTGTGTTGTCTAACAAAGCCGTTGTTTCATGTACAGATTAAGACTGAGAACCTGAATGATTCACCTCATTCTGGATCATCCCACAAGACATGCCACTTAACTCAGGGATCACCGGTGCCTGGAGGCCAGCTCACTGGGGTACGTCCTCATCAGCCCAGTCATAGGGAATCAATAAATCCATCAAGGGCATGTTCGGGTCATATATTTCACATTTTAAAAAGACGGAAAATTAAGCCTATTTTGAGGATCTCTAGGCTTTTTGGCACTGTAACAGTACTTTTTGTAATAATAGTTAGGCAACACTTAAAGCAGCACTATGTAACTTTTGACGCTCTAGCAGTTAATAAACAGAACTGCACACATCCCGCGGAAGAACATTCCAACCGGAGCTACTTCTCTAATTTTATGTCTATGGCGATTCACGCAGGTATGTGTTACTCCGCAGCGCTGACGACCTGACCAGGCTACACTAGT